CAGATAATGGTATGATTAAATTATCATAAGTTTATGAAGAACAATGTTTGTCTACTGTTTTAATGTCGCTTTTGACACATCACCTGTTTTGACATTATCGTCTAGGACATTACACCAATACGTTTTCTTTTAATGTGTAATCTGTCTATGATCAACCAGTTTTCCTTCACTGGTATGCTGCCCTGCTCTAGCTTTTCTGTTTTTCAGTTTTTTATTTTAAGAATATGCATCATGTAACATCAACTGAAATGCCTCAAGATTATGTCAAATGCAGGAGCCACCATTGCAGTTTTTATTGTGTCTAGTAGTTAACATCTCAAGCAATTAATCAAATTACCAGAAAGTAATTGATGCATAGACAATCTGTGACCATCGGGGGACTATGGGGGTCTGGGGCCCCAGAGCAATTACCTGCTTTGGAGATTGTTTTGTGAACATCTGCTTCCAAGGTCAAGAATGAACTGTCAAGCTCAACTTCTAAGCCAACATGGACAAGGACCCACGTCAAACGAGCAAACTTCACCTCCTATTGAAGACCATGTGAAAGCTCACTTAAGACATGTGAGTGTTTTTATAAAACCATCATGCTGTAACACTTCCTGTTGACTGTGACCATAATTTCACGCTGCTAAGAGTGTCATTTATTTGGTATTGCAGTGAACATTACATATAGTAATGGTGTTTGCTATCAGGTCATTATAAATTAATTGGTCAACAAATACAAGCAGGAGAACAAAGAAAGGAAATTAGCAATGTGGACTTCATTGAGACACTCTGTTAATGTCACAACAGTTATAAAGTTTATTTACTCTGATGACTAATTACAATATTGTATAGTAATAAATAGTGGATGCCACAGTAATGAGACTGGTGGTGTATTTAGACTTGAGTACTCCTGTAGCTGTCTCTGCTCCAGTGTGAAGTGTATATCAGGCAGACAGGCAGCTACTTTTTTGGGTTTGGAGACACCCGGCACCCACCAGGGCCAACCATGATAATGCATGCTGTCTAAGACATGCCAACTCTATTTTAAGACTCAAGCTGTGACTGTGCTTCTATTCAGATGGGCCTTGATGAAATTGTTTGCAGAGGTGTGATGGACAGTTGAGGTAATTATTCTGCTTGAGGTATGATGATTAGGCATTGTGGTTGAACACTCATACACTCAGTATTTTGTTGAGTTGTTTTGATGCGTGATGCGCCTCCTGCCAGCTAGGTAGAGATGTGCTAGACAGCCTATTCTCACATCAGCTTTACTTGTTGTGACGGCTGCCATGCTGCCATTAACTATGGTCAATCAATAGATCTTGGTTTTAAACTTTTTAAAGAGTTCTTTCCAACTGTTCTCAAACCTTTTCTCACTTTATTTTCTCGCTGTCCAGCTTTCTGAAAGACAAATAAGTAAGTAACTAATAATCGTCATGATGCACCTTTCGCTTGCACTCTGCTTTTTCTAAAAAGTTCTGCACTTTCTCGTTGATTAAAGTAACATGATCCTCCCAGAAAAATAATCTTCACCTCCTTTTTTGTGTTTCCGTTTTATTTTTGTACCTCCTTTCAACCTTTATGATCAAGCAATAACAAAATTTTAATTTAAAATGAAAGCCTGACAAAGGCAAAAGAGCTTTGGTTGGTGATTAAAATTAATTAAAATGTCTAACTTCTAACCTCTTAAAGGCTTTGGTTTTACACAGACTAGGAAGACAGAAGAAGTGAACTGCCATATAGTAACAATGCACACACCACCCAGTTTTTTAGCTGGAGGCTGTCCTCCAGGAGGCTAGTGTGTTTTACATCCAGTACTTGCAGCCTCCTGCTGTGGCCTCCAGGCTTCAGTTCCTGCTATCTGTCAGAAGCAATATTGGATATATTATAACATGGCTTTTACTTTGAGCTATTACTCAAAACACTCCCTATGTGTCACAAACCCTTGGCTGGAAAAGAAGTAAAAAATTCTCAGCATTACACATCTCAGCATTTTTTTGTATTTGCACAACCAGGTCAGGTGTGTACCTATTATCCTGACTCGGTTTTATAAGATAAAACTGCAGCTGCAGACTTTTTGTGAGATAGCAATTTGACTGAAGCAAGCCTCATGCAAGTTCAGATGTACAGTGGCCACATATCAATTTGCATATTTGAGGCATTCCAGTGATTTACAGCTTAGAAGCAATTAAACTAAAGGATGTCTTGAGGGTCCCCACCTGGTTTGAACCCAAACAACCCTTTGATCTCTTTTAAGTGGCTGCATTCATATTGTCAGACCTTATCTGAATGGATTTCAATTATTTCTGAATTCATGCAGCATCACCAAAAGAGTTGGGGAGCAGCAGCAATCACTGCAGGATCTTGGATAAGTTGGGTAACTGTGGATCTCTCAGGATGTGTGTCGTAACACTGCCCCCTCATGGCCACAATGGAAAAGCATTTACAGTGCATCATCTGTGTTTGTGTGCTCATAACCACACACTTTCAGGGGTCAGTACCATTTTTCTTGTCTTGCAGTTGTTGCACCTGCAGGCAAACACAGAAGACATGAGCTTCTTCCAGCTCTCTCATCCATGTAAACATGTTTTATGTTCACCTTGGTAGCCCATCTGCTGTGAGCAAATATTCAATCAAACATATGGCAGCAGCAGAGCCAAAATAAAGTCACCTAGCGCGGTGTAGATTAATCAAACCTTCGAATGCCTCTAGATTAACAAGATTATGTTTTATGTTGCCTGATTGAGCAGCCAAAGCCATTTTTTGCCACATTTGTTTGCGGTCTAAAATGTATCCGCCCCTGCTCCTCACTTATAGCATCATATTTTTGGAGCATTAAAATGGAGCATGTGAATGCTGAGAAGTTTCTTCTTTCATAGAGACATCAAATCGCTCTAAAAGTATCCAGATAAAGTTATGACTCCCACATGTCCACTCAATATTTTTTATCGCAGCTAAAATGAAATGGGAGCACCACTCGTCTCGTGCTGCCATTTATGATTGCATTTTGTGATTTGAACTGCTGGTGGGAACAACAACAGGAAATATTTAGCTGAATATAGTAGCTTACAATTCAAAAAACTAACAATAACTGCACAGAGATACAAGACTTCATTGTTCATTCCATCAGCACAGAGTCGATAAGGGCTCTTATCACCGTTACATTGTTAGAATAAACATTTAAATTTGATATCTGCAGCCTCTATTTCAATAATTAATTCTTGCTCTCTAATGATTGAGCGTAAGTGCCTTTCTTTTTAACTCCCTTTATACAAGACCATGACTGGTATATTATGTGTATTTTATTTTAGCAGATGCAGCATTAGAGGCTGAGCCAAGAAAGCAAACCATCTGAAATCCAGAGCACCTACACAGTCTATTATATCCTTTGGCACCAGAATGGGGACTGTGTGTTTATTGCACATGTTCTGTGACAACAAAGAGCCAGAGAGGCAGTGGAGAGAGAGTATAAAGATGTGGAAAGAGTCTCGACAGCCTTGAATCAAGATGCTCTGAGTGGTCCTCACGTCGTTGTTGATGTTGACTGTCGACACGTAGCTGTTCATCTCCTTCTGTCTCAGTCTGGGTTTCACCGTTGTCTGGTTGCAGAACGCTAGCTGCAGTCAAACAGGCCTTTTAAGTCAGGACTTTGTTCTTTTGCAATGGAGAATTTCAGTTTAATTAGCCAAGAATTTAAGTCCAAACCCATAAAAAGAAAGGTTTGTGTAGGAGAGAGAAAGATGAATACCGCTTTCAACAGAATGCATTAAAGGAAAGAAAGACTTGGATCTTTTTGTAACACATCATTCTTTAAACCGATCTAGGATCTTGATTTCATGGTATTATTGTACTCAGCAATTTCAGAAATTTCATTGCTGAGATCTAGGAATACTGTGACATCGCTAAAACCTAGTTCAACAGGGCAAGATGCATGAGCGGTCCGATGATTGTACACATTTGAACAAAACTAAGAGTCTACAGCCATGCTAGCAGCTCTGTGAGGCTGTGCTTAAGCAGATTAGCACTAAACACAAAGTACAGCTGGGGCTGATGGGAATGTCATTACCTAAATCATGACCTGATGGTGGTGCTAGATGAAAGTCAAAGGATCACCAAGTCAAGTTATTAGAATTCATCCTGAGGGGGGATGTGTATGTAAAAAAAAAAATTTCAATCAAAACCACAAATGTCATCTGGATCTCATGATTCTGCTAGTGGACCACAGTTAATAGGATTCCTCTGGTGTCTGTACCAACTTTTTGACAATCCATCCAATAGTTGCTGAGATATTTGAGTCTGGACAACAGTGGTGGACTGGTGAACGCTTTAATTATTACCATACTTACCAAGTTGTATAGTCACAGTTCCCATGTGCAATGAGGGGTTATTAACAACATTTCGGATGCAGTCACTTTCTATTTTACCTTTTAAAAACCTGACAAACTGTTGGCTTGTTTACAGTCTGTCAAATCCTCTGACTGCTTGTTTCTTGCTCTCTCTGACTTCATTGTAGCAACGTTTTCGTGTTCCCAGATACTTAGCAGTTAACTCGGTGGTTTTGTCAGAACTAATAGACATCATTGCCAAAAACATTAATTACCCAAGTTGAAGGAAACTGGAATTACTGATTAAGTAGATTAGGATGCTTGATCAAGCAAAAGGCTTTGAACTTTTCTAAGGAGACCATCCATCTCTTGTACTATAACAGGTTTGGTCTGTCTCATACGATGCCATCATGCTCAGTCTCTCCATCAGCAAGTCGGTCAGCAACTCATCCGGTTAGTCAGTTATCCAGTCAGTTGGAGAGTCACTCAGTAACTGAACCAGTCAGCCAGTCAAGCTGTCAGCCAGTAGCTGAGACAAAAGTCCAGCCAAGAGGGCAGGCTCTACCCAAAATCCTGATGATTTCCAGATGAGAGCCCAGACAGCCTGGCCTGAGTGGAGAACACACACACACAGAGGGAAAAAAATAAAAAGAGAGAGGGAGAGAGGAGAGAAGGAGGGAGGAGGCAACAGAAAAATGATGACAGTGAATGAAGGAATGATCCTGCATATGAAAGTAGTGCATGTGAAATGCCAAAACTCAACAGTCTGAGTATTTTCATCCACCGTTGTGATGTTCATTTGTGTGTATGTTGAGTTGCGTGAGGAGATCTGTGTGTGAGGATAATCAACATGACGCAGTGCTGGGCTCCACTCATCGTTGTTTACCTGTCCATCTACCTGGCAGCCACTCAGCACCACAGGAAAGGTAAGTGGACCTGCTCCATGAATACATTCTACCTATATCATCTTTATTAGGCCACAGTGTTAACATCGTATAAACAGCTGATTTGAATGATCTCTATACACAAACTGCAATGATTAGCACCCTCATTTCAAATATACAAGCCTATTGGAAAATAGAAATCTTGGTTTGCTCCCGCATGTGTGTCTGTGAAAGAATGTGTTTATTTTCCGGAGATATCAGGATCATTGGGACATGCAGGACATCAACAGATCATTTTCCAGTGAAAAGTGACTGGCCTGTTGTTACTGGATCCACTCACTGAGGAAATTCCTTTCTCAAGACTCGCATAACTCACAATCTCTGGATAAGTCACATGATGCTAAAAATGGCTGCAAGGGAGAAAAATACTGTGACTAATGTTTTGTTTTTTAAAAGCTTTCTCCCCTCTGCCAGGCATCAAAGCTTTTTCTTTCACAAGCTGTAAACACAGCATTGACATATCATCACCTTACTCTATTTTACTTTATAACAAATATGAACATTTGTCATACACATCCAGCAGACGCAGAACAACATTAGTGTGTGAGCACTTTGTGGTATTGACTACCTTTTAGCTCTGTTTTTGGTCTCTACCAACTCTTGAGAGTAATATCTGGCTCTTTAACTGCTAAATGCTGCACTATGCACGCCAGCTAGTTAACTAACTTGGTCTGTCTGCCATTTGGAGCTGGGCGAGTCGTGTACAGTGGATTTCTAACTAAAAACAGCTGCCTGCTGAGGTTAATGAGAGCAGTGAAAATGAATCAAAACGGTAAAGTTGCGAGCAGCAAGACCAAAACTGAAAACTGAAAGAATCTAAAACACAGTCTGGTGATAATTCTTACTTGGTTTATTATTATACCAATTAATTTGACCTATAGAAAATATATAAACACTAAAACACAGCTTTTTTATTATTGTTTTTTTTATCTTTTTGGACCATTGACAGCTGTAAAAAGTCTAAAAAAGGTATTTGTATTAAAAACTTGCGTAATAAATGGAAACAATTTCCAAAACAAATGTCTTGGAGGAGATGGATTGTAGCGGGAGAAAATGTACAGTACAGTGTAAAGCAGAATACATGCATACTAAAACTTTCACCTGTTGACCTGCAGAGAGTCCATTTGTTTTATTATTTAAGCAGATCAACCCGCAAAATAAGTGTGGGTGTGAAAGGGATAAGCTTATGGAGAGTGCAATGATGCACTCTGGGTCATTGTGGAGGCCAGTATTTGGTGAGTGGAAGCTGGACATACGTATGTGCCCCTTCTCCACTGTTCCCAATCATCACTAGTGGCCCCAGTATTCTAACATCCAGTGTCAAATCCTCTCTTGTCTTCCCTGGCGATGCAGTGTGACCTTATTGCAGCTTAGCCTCTGATTTGTCTCACAGTGGGAGGGTTGAATGAGGAAGTCTGTGTTTACATTGCAAAATGTTACATTTTGTATCTGAGTTGCTAGAAAAAGTGCAGTTTGTTTATTTTTTTTTTTAGGTGAATTGAAATGCTAAGCACAGGATGGGCCACTGCGACAAAGATTTTATTCTCTCCCTTGTCCTTTTAACTCCCTTTTACCGTAAGCCGGAGGGATCCAGTTTTTGTTTTTGTTTGTCTCTTTCTCTATTTCTCTCTCTCTCTCTCTCTCTCTCTCTCTCTCTCTCTCTCTCTCTCTCTCTCTCTCATCAAGACATCCCTCCAGCCAGGAATACCATTTAGCCCTGCTAATTAATGGATCTTTGTTGTTCCCTCATCTCCTTGCAAGCAGTTAGCGGGAGATTACAAGTTCCCTGCCTGTGCATAATGACATTGGGGGAAGCCTGCCCATCCAAACACTGATTGTTTTGGAGCGCTTGGAGGAGGGAGGGAAAGCATGAGGGATGAACGGGCTTAGAACGAGCAGCAGGAAAAGCTGAGATGTTGTAAGGAGGGACATTTATATTTCAACCTGAGAGAGACAAAAAGACAAATCAGCTGAAAAATATTAATCGCCTTATGTTTGTTTGTTCCCCTGCATTAACATGTTAAAACTTTAATATTATACAAACAAATCTCTTGTACTCTACAACTGGGAATAGATTTAAGTTCACAGGAGGACCACACTTCTTAATAGAGTTGCGGTGTTTGAATGTTGCCCATATATTTAAATTTCTAATATTTCCCTTTTAGAAAACAATATTGTGAAACATATTACCACTTACAGACTTGTAAAAGTAAAAGTCATTATCCAAGTGGCCCAAAATATAAAAAGTGCAAACCAAACTAATATAGATTCCCCACATCAGCCAAATTCCTATTGTTTAGTTTGCAATGCGACAACTGTGCAAATTCGCCTGTCATTGTTCAGCAAAGATGAAGATGATAAATTCATGCACATATATATAACTCGCCTCAGTGTGCGGATCCACTAATAAAAGCAATTCTTTCTGATTCTGCTCTCAGCCCTTTAGTTCTTCCCTCTCCTGCAGTGGGCCTCAGCTTTTCTCACCCCTTGTCATCATTGTGTCCAAAGTCCTCCATTCATTCTTTACTCCCTACTCACTATTTGGGGGTTCTATGTACAGGACTACATAGTGGACTCAAAATGAGAAAAACATTTTGGATTCTACTTGGGTCATTTTCTAAGCACCTTTAATTGCGTCAATTAAAACGTGACAGCTCAACGTCGGCTGGTGGATTAACATAGGCTATAGGCTGGACTATCCATTATAACCAGCAGCGTGCATTTTTGTGATAAATACATGATATTATACACAAATGGATAAATACACAGCACTTTGTGTTGTGTTGTGATGCGCTGCTCTGTTCACATTAACATCATATTAAACATTATTTTCTCACCACAGCTCATGGATTTGTCTCTAGGCTGTCGTCACAGGGAAAAACAAACCGTGCTCCATCAAAAATACTTAATAATACTCTTATAATAGCTCTATGGAAATGTCTTTGTTCTAAAAATCATCAATAAAATATTTTCGATTAGGAGAAGAAACAGAAGTACTGGACAGAGAACGTGCTGCTCTTGCTACACGACCAAGACGTCGTCACATTATATGTAAAAATATGAAGATGATGCCTGGCCTTTAAATTTGTATTCACAATAGATATACACATCATTTCTGAATTCTTAACAATTAACCACCCTCCCACACACACACACACACACACACACACACACACACACACACACACACACAGTATTACAACAGTGTGTGATTGTAGCTTTTAGTTACATATTTCATTTTATGACATGGTGGTATCAGTTTTAATCTTATATCTTATTATTTACAGCGTAAACAACCATCTGATCTCATTATTGTGTGGTGAAACGTGGAGTTCCTGTCTTGGCCTTATATCTTGATGGTGCAGAGGAAAGACCGCTTGCCAGAGAAGAGGTGGTCCCTCTCTTTCCAAATTGTCGCTGGCCCCTGAAGAGAGATTAAAATAAACTCACCACAAGAATTTCTCTAGTGCTTATGTAACCAATGTAATTTTGCTGCTTACTAATAAAAAACTGTTGCCCTAGTTTTAACTTAACTGCCAATGGCGATTTACAGAAGAGGGCTTGACATGAGTTGGGTCACTAGACATCGGTTGTACATTACTTTTCACAATGCATTGTGGGGTACTTTGAGTCCACTATACAGGGCATTATAATCCTCACAGATGAGAGCAGCCATATGTCACTATCTTCTCTTCAGGAAGACTACGCCCCCTTTTGGGTGAAACAAGCGCTGTAAAAGTGACTAGTGGCACCATACCTAAAAGTTGCAGCGTCGCATTTTGCCCATCAAACAATAAAAAAAGCCAGTTTGCCACTTTCTTTACCTTTCTAATCAGGAAGGACTTAGGCAATCTGCAGAGAGGATAAAAATGATAAACTGTGGGACCCGGAGAAGTCAGTATGTGTCCGTCTGTAGCAAACACTTCATCACAGGTTACTTAATGATGTTAATGAGTCAATGACATGTGTGCTGATTGCAACTGTAGATTAAAATAAATCAGTAGTCTTAGTGATGGTGTAACTAAAGTTTCTACTGTGAAAAAATATATAATAATATAACATAACATAAAATACTTGCTTTTGAAATGGAGTTTTGCAGCAGAAGGTACTTCACATTATATACCTCTATAATTCACATAAACTGAGCTACTTTCTAATAATGAACCTTGTAAACAGCATGAAAGGACTGAAAGGACATTCATCAACCCATATTTCATTAAGCCTTTTTTTTATATAACAATACCGATCGTTGATCTGCAAAGACACAACCTCACCGTCTGCCTTGCTGGCCATAGGGTTTTGGCTTCTAATAGCTAAAAAGCAACACGGTATTCTTATTTTATGGTATTAAATTGACAAAAATCTCCGAATATATATTTACGGCCTATTAAATTAAAGAGGCTTCTTTTCACCTAAAAGGGGGCGGGGGCTTAACGTGAGGGCGAAGTACCCGAATGGGCTGCTCTCATCTATTCAGACAGCACTGCGAAATGGCAAACTCATGGGGGACTATATAGTGGGTCGTGAGTGATTTCAGACACAGCCCTGACCTCCACACCCAGCTGTGCACCTGTTCCCAATCCCCTCATCTGCTCCTCAGTATGAAACCCTTCCCTTCAGTTCCCTGCCAGATTGCCCGTTGTGTAACCCAGCCTTCATGATTCAACCTTCTGCTGCCTTTCTTATTATTATCCTTTGCCCGCCTTTTTTTTTTATGTTTGGCCTACCTGCCTTGCCCTTTTTGTTCTGCCTTTCGTCCAGGCCTGTTCCTAAAACCTGTTTTTGACCATATACACTATAAACTTTGCTTTTAGCCTGCATGCTGCCACTGAGTCCTCTACCTGATTTACTTAGCCGCTACAAATGTGCAACATTAAACTGGTTGTCTTTTCCATGCAGGGATTTGTTTGTAGTTTTATAAATGTTATAAGACACACAGTCTGTTTTTGTGTCTGCAGCTTTCCTGCTCCAACTATGTCGGCATTAACCAGCAATAACATTTTTATTCCAAACTGCTGTTTCTGTCACTGGAAACATAAAACACATACTTTACTGTATGCCAAAGGATATTGCGTTGCAGCAAACAATGGCAGAGAGTAGCAGACAACTTTTATGTAAATCACAGATTATTAATTTTAAATGTAAATCAGCATTGGGTTGCCGCCGAGCTGTTGTTTCCCTGCATCTCCTCCATCCTTCAGTAACATAACCCTTGTTCTAATGAGAACACTTTCCCCGGGGTGCTGTTTTGTTTACATTGACAATGCCCCACTGAACCTGGAGTGTCTCTTCAGTATCTAATATGACTGCGCAGGCACTCCTCCTCCGCTGCTGATCGTGCATCCGGGAGTCATTCAATAAGCAGTGTAAATCTTTACATAGGCTACTAGTTGTGATGCTGCACATCACTGTTGGATCTATTGGGAAATAATGTCAGTGCTGTTCCTTGGTGTTTGCAGGGGTGAGAGGGTGACAACTTTAGGAAGGAATTTTTGTTCTACAGTTTAATTACAAAGAAGGTCTTGAAACAGCTTGTTGCTAACCATGTGCAGAACAATTTACAGAAAATATTTTAATAAATAGAAATAGTTTTACACTTTAAATGAGAAGAACAACACCAGCCTCACATCTGGGGTCCAGGAGAGGGTTAACTTACTTTTGCATAAATACTGGACATGCAGACTGAAACGCATTGCTCTCGTGAGTGTCAATAAAAAATCTGTGGTTATATTTTTACTGGGTGAGTGTGTGGTCTCTAAAACAAACACTGGCAGTTTCATTTTCTCATTCCACTCTCATGTCAGTAAGCTAAATATATGGCTGGAGACAGCAGCCAGTTAGCTTAGCTTAGCATTAATACTGGAAATGTGGAGGGAAAATCACAGAATCCATCTACAAGCGCCTACTAAGTTAACTGTACATTAAATGTATAACTGACCACAGTGGTATCGATCTACTCATCTAACGAAGAATAGATATTTTTGGTGAAAAGGGTGGGATGGGGTTGCACTGGGAAACTTTGAACTCTTGACCTCAGAATTCCTAAAGTCCTGGCTATGGCTCTGTTGGTTGGAGCCGGTTTTAGGGGTGAAAGGTTTGAGATAATATTTTGAGGATTACACAAATGTACCAAACTGTTAGGCTTTATTATTCCAACACTGCAACACAGAGATACAGATTTCATGTGTATACATTCTGAATGGTGGTTCGACTGAGAAAACAAATCTGGAGCTGTGACTGGCAGTCACCCAAGCAGGAAGCAGGTACATGAGGAGAGCAGCCAGTGCATGTGGCTTTGGCTGGCTTAACAAATGCTATAAAGCTAAATGTATCGGGCCGGCGAAGCTGCGGGCAGCAGGGCTGATCATTACTGCAGAATTGGCGAGGCAGCGCACCGTAGATGCTGCTGTAGGGTTGAAGGAAGATTGGATCTGAATTCAGATGAAGCCCAGTGTTTATACTGTATACCTCATTAAGATCTGTGTGTGTGATCTGTGTGCTGGCTTACACAGCCAAGCACTCGATGGTAACTGTATGTGTGAGACAGTGGAAAAAGCGCTCAAAGGAAGTCTTGACTTACATTATTCTGGGAATCCCCTTTCAGCTCTAATCAACTTTGCTTTTCACTTCACTCTCCTGAAGCAGTGTCATCAAATTGGTCTTGGAGTCTCACACAATAGAGGCCATTATAGTATGAATACTTTCATGGAGTCTTGGCAGCAATTGTAGTCATATTATAAACAGTATGGAAGGGGAAAAATGTGGATGGGGTTTCTTAGCATCCTTGTGTGACCCGTCTGATTGTCTTTCCTTCTTGCAGCCTTGTTTGGACTTGACCTCCCAAAGACTTTCCATAACCAGTGGGAATATCTGCTCTCTATCACACAGCACTGTTACTCAAAAATGAAAATGCAAATATGGAGTAGTAAGATCTGTCTAGTTCATGATCTTGGACACAGATATGTCCTTCTGATTTGATTAATAATTTAGAAGAATTAAAAACATTTCTTGTACTTTCAGCCAGTAAACTGAAAGATGTCTCTTTAAGTAGATATAAGCTAAAAAGAAATTTAACTTTTCTCTCTTAGGTTTTTTACAATAAAACTATTAGAGAAAATGATTAAAATTGAATGAGAATGAGAACTAAGAGATGTACACACTGACCCTTTGCTTTATTAGTGCAGTACCTGTCCTGGTATCAGTGGAACAACTACAGTACAAAAAGATCTCTGAATCAAACAGCTGTGTGTAAAAGTAACAAATCCACAGAGAATTGCCACCTAAGCCTGCAGTTCACCTTTATAAACAGAGCATTATAGCATCTTTAAGCTCCTTGTTTTGGTTTACAGAGAATAAGCATATTTTTCAAAGGGCCTCTATCTATGCATCCTATTCCTATCCATAACTTAACTGTTTGTCTTGCTAAGTGACTAGGCACTTCAGCTATTCAATACAAAGAGGGAATTAAAAGCAATGCTGAGGAATGAATGAAAGTAAATAACTAAAAACTACACTGTAGTAACTGTAGCGGTATTTCTTTTAAGTACTTGAGTAAATGTACTTAGTTACTTTCTACCTCTGGATGAGAGGTATATGACCATGTGGAATTGCCTCTGGTTATCACCTCCAGTAAAATATGGATTTCATGGTATTTTATCATAGAGATGTGGCAGCAGCAACTGTTTCCTCAAGCTGAGAGCCAGGGGGGTTTCATTGCAGCTCTATCTGGACACCTTAGATTACGGGGTCACTGGTCTGCTACACATATACTGACACTTTGAAATCTGGCCAAATGAGGTCAGCAACACGTGCCCCTCTGTGAGCACGGATATCTCACCTCTGGATGCACCGGCCACCGCCACTTGTAAATATAGGAGCATCTGTTGCTCAGGTCGAAGACCAATTACCTTCTGCACAGCTGGAGCCAGATTCTATCACACCTGCATAATATTTGAGCAGTAATGTATCTGTGTGTACTCAACCTCTGGCCCACCCACATGCATGCCACGTGGGATAATGTGGTACCTAATTACTTCAATACGAGGAAGATCCTCTAATCCAATTTCCTGTCCTTATGTGTTTTAGCGCTGTATCCATCTGCATATAGGATAAAGCGAGAGACATATTCGCTCCTCAACCCCACGTTCCAGCGTTCAGTGGAGGATGTCAACCTGCTTTTTGAGGTCAGTTTAGATCCTGTAGGTTTAGAAGTGCTGAAATAGTTAATGGCTCAGTGGTTGATTACTGGCAACAAATGTACATTTGTCGAGAATGTGCAAAGGATCTGTCCAAGTCACATATTTTTGTCCATCTTCCACTGACATTGTGTTCTGCTGCTGTCCTGCTAATCATGACCAGAAATGTGAAGTATGTTTACCCAAAGTTTTATGAACAATGATCAGAGGAACATTAACTAAAATCTTATGTTGTCTTCAATTCAATTCACAAAGAAGTAAATAAATAGTGTCTTTGGTAGATTGGTACTAGCTGGTTTTTGGTAAGCTTAGTTGGTTTGTAACTAGATACTTCCTGAGTATTTTTCTTGATGGACCTGTGTCTCCCAGATCCTGCTAGCTGGAATGCAGATCCAAGGTGTGGAGAACACCATGCTGATCCCAGATGAGGAGCTGGCCTCCCTGAGGAGCGTGGAGAAGCTAGAGGTCATCTGTGACGACATCGTCCCCAAGAGGCTCTCCGACATTCGCCGTCTGACAGCAGAGCTCGCCCAGCGCCGGCAACCTCTGAGCCAACAGGATTTTGAGAGGACGGTGCTGACCCTGGTGTACACTACTCAGACGCTGGCTCGAGTTAGCAACCAACATCAAAGAGAGTCGTGGACGGACGCTGTGATACAGCTGTTCAGAGCCATTCAGAAGGACCTCAGACCCTCTTAAGTTGTTATGTGTGTCTTACTTACCCTGCATACTAATTCTATACAGTATGGACTACAGTATTGTTATAGTATACCATTTTTGCAGTTAGTATACAAGAAAGTGTGACAGACAAATCATCTCAATCGATAAACTCAATGTCTAGTAACTCTTTCCAGATCTTTCAACCACATCTTGCAGTCTTCCTCAGCTGACGCACTAGCTAAAACAGCTGAGTTGCTGAGTTTTCATATATCACATATGCTGTGGAAAAAAAGCTAGGAAGCGGCCCTTTTAGATATGATTTTTTGGGGGGTTTTTTGCCGGTCAAACAGTTTCCTAGGTCGAAAATGAACTTTTAAACTGAAGAAATCAATGCACTTTACTGTGTTGTACCAACAGGAAATATTACGATACAATAGTTTGCTGTCTTCGCTTTCTGTGCTCTTCTAGAAACTGTCTCACCACTATCCAGCATCTGCTTCATTACTTCTGTGAAATCCTTTGTGGGACGATGGGTAGCACCCTCAAAAATCAAGCAAATTCAGCATCTGTTCAAACACCTAAACCTGCAGTCTTGAGCACTCAAGTGCATGTTTACACACCTCCGAGTGGTAGACAATGTTTCCCATCTGTGAAAAACACACAATAAAACTTAGCCGAGACTTGATGCCACATAAAAAAAAAAGCTCCTTTTCTAAAGATTTCATCACAGAAACATTTTGCCCAGTTTTACGCTGGAGGTGTGTAAGAGAGAGGGGTATGACCTGCAACAAAGGTCCCTGGCTAGAATCAAATTGAGGACGTTGTGCCTTAGGACCACTCGACCACAAGGACACCCTGATTTAATTGCTTTATCAACTATATTACTTCTCTCTGCTCATAAATTCTTTTTCGCTCTCATCCGATTATGACTGTAATATATTATGTGTGATCCTACTTATTGGTTCATTATGTGAAAATTAAATAAAAGCAGCAAAGCGTCTGTGCTCTGTGTATTTGCACAAGCCATAGGATGGCCTCATTAATCAAGTGTGTCCCAGTGAGCTCTAATACTCTTCCACAGGCTTGCAGTCTTAACTTGGGCACTCTGGTAGTTACTGCCAACACGTCACAAAAGTATGGGTATTGCATACTGACTTTTCTAATTATTCTGACCTTTGAACTACTTTAAATCAAACTATAAACAGTATACTATTTTGACAACTCCATACAGAGTTACCTCCATCCCCTGTGCTGACTGTCCATGTTTGATGTCGTCAAATTACTTTAGACGGCGTTAGATGCTTTGCTCTGTCTAGAAAAGATGGCTCAGCTCATTTGATTTGTCAGCAAAAGCTCTTTGAACGAAAAACCACAGATCTGTACTTAAGAGTCTGTGTACATCAATACCCCTGATTGCTCATTTGAGAAAACTGTAAAATGTTTGATAGATGTTGGCTTCAAAGCCACCCATTTCCCCACTCATTTTGGGAAATAGGTACTTGCCGTAATAGGCTTTCGTACAGTTCACTTGTCTTGGAGTGGATAGAAAGTATATATCTGTTTGTGCTGTTTTCCCTCCTTGAGTTAATTGGTTTTACATTTGCTTACATTTTAGTATTTATGGTTACATTCAAGCTTTTATCCAGCCTTGGAAATGTTTGTCTCCCGAAGTTTGTCATTTCCTGCCACCAGAGCTGCATGCTCTCCACAAGCATTTAATTTATGAAAATGTATATGATGATGACAGGGTTTTTTTAGCAGCGTTTTCGGTCTCTTTCTCAGCATGTCAGCATTCATCTGATGCCCAAGCGGCTGGTGCTGACTTGGGAGGACTGATTGACGAGGAGGTGAAGACTGTAGTGATGGAATTTCCTTCCAAGAAAGAGGATCAGCCTTCGCTCCCTGCACCACTCTAACGATGATGATGATGAGTTTTGGGATGTTTCTGGCCACTACTTGACAGAGCGTTAAGACCCTAGGATATTGAAAAAAATAACAGAGCTCAAAATTTTGTTCCAAGTATCGAATCTGACAGCAGAGTTTCATTAAGACCTCTGTGTTTCATGTATTATATGACAATTCCCAGATTCTAATGCCTCGTAGTTTTAGGTGGTATTGTTATTCACTTCTGGTATATAAATGTCCTCAAATTTTTGAAACAAAATACATATAAAATTGCATTTCCACATAGTTAATGTTTTTAACTTTAGTTTAAACTTTATGTTTTTTACATGTCTTAATGGACTTGTCTCTGCAGTACTGAGTGGTAAACATGTGCAGTATTGTCAAGTGTGTAGGCCCATAAAAGTCAATAGTTGCAGAGGACTTGTATTGATACATTTTCCTGTAATTGAGTTGCAGCCCCTTTTGCACAATCCACACCTTAATTGTCACTAAAGTTTTAAAATCACTCACTAACTGCACTGCTTCTCTTTATCTCCATCCCATCCTCTGTGCTTGTAATATAGATTTAATAAGAAAAATGAGGCTTTTACCTTGGATATTGACACATCAGTATACCTCATGAAAGATGAGCCTGTAACATTTCATTAATTTATTGTGCTATCCCTAAATGTCATGAATAACCCTCAGGAGCATAATACATGTTGAGAGAGCAACACCAAGTGGCAGCAGGCAGGACTGCAGTCTTGAAGTCCATGTTCTTAAAGCTTATAGCCAACTTGAACCATAAGATTAGTGAGGCACTTGTTAAAAATAAAAATCCCTGTACAATTCCCCAATGTATAAGTCTTAATCATAACTATATTATGTCCATATTAGGACTTAATCATGTTGTGCAATATAACTGATCCTGACTAAAAAGATGAAGCGATCAAATTAACTTAACAGCAATGACTGTCACTGAAGATAATCAAATGTGCTGCAGCCTGCAATGTAAGATGATCCTGAATGATTATATGCATTAAATGTAATTGATGGTTCAAATTGTATCAGTAAGAAACAGTAGAAGTATTCCATAACAAGCCATTTGCTGGTGTAAATGCAGGAGTATATATAATAAAGCAGTGCCAGCTAGTATTGCTGTACTGTCAATAACTGCTGATATATAACTACATCGCAAATAAAGGACTTTCACTCCTCTCCCAAGCTCTAGAAATAAGATCTGTTAAAAAAATGGCTCCCTTCATAACACACAATTTATGTCTTTTATAATCATCCAATCAACAGAAATTAATAAAGCTGAATGACATTTTACTGAAAAGCAGAACCCTTAAATTATCATACAATGAGCAATAAAACATAAAATTACTAGAACTGCCTAATACTATTACTAACAACCGCCTATTTCTAATGGTAATGTACCTGAACATAACACACAGACATTTGGTTAATTGTTTTTCACATGAGTTTCTACTACTGGAATTTTTATCGAACAATATATTTATCATTTAGGTTTGTACCAACATCTGTATTTAAATACGTTTTATCTCTGTGTAATATTACCAATTATCAGCCAAACATGCTCACTAGGTGGCAGCATTTCCAAATTTGATTTGCTCACTCATGTTATCAGTCATGATTTTGTCATTGGTTATTGATTTGTGCAGATATTGTCAGGAATCATGGGTCCAAAGGGACAACTAAGTTTAATATAACAGTACAACATGTAATAGTCGTAATACTGTCCTATGTCCATGCTGTGCACATGCATGCATGTAACTTCATTAACAGCTCTTGAACTCATTACAATATATTTTTGTTATGCTGACACCAGATGTGGGCTGCTGACTAAAATCAGCAACGTGGCATTTCTAATTTGATTTCTCTTTTTCTTTCTTGCGTGTGTTTTGGGTTTGAGGTGGCTTAATTAGAACTGAGTCTTGTCAAAACTGGAATGTGTCTTTCCTGGTAGAAATATTTTGTGATCACCTCCAGCTGAACACGCAGTTGTTTTAACTCAAGCTTATCAGCTGCATATGTTTTCCCCACAGCTGTCAGACATATTTTCATGCTTCAAGTCTAACTGCTGGCGGAGAGGGACCGATGATGTGTCACATATATACACACCGTGCTTTTCTGCACCAAATTATACAACTCAATACCTTTTCCATGTGGTTTATACAATGAGTGCACGGCTACCTGAAATATTTGATGGATTATCACCTGTCTGGCAGTCAGATGACTTGTGGTATAACCTGCCGTTGTCTCCCCAGATATGATGAGAAAATAATTCAGTATCTCGATCTTGGGCATCAAACACTCCGGCCATACCTCTGGTAAAAATCAGGACAGATTATTTTCTCTGAAGATGCTTTGACACAATATGAAAACATGTTTTGTTTTTATATTAGGAAAAACCATTCTGAGTAGAAATAAAACACAGAACAAAAGCAGTGACTCAAAGTCTCCAGATGTAAGACTGCATGTTAGGAGGTGATTTATGAGCTGCTGCTATAGACAGGGTGTAGTCATCAACATGTGCCTGTCAACCAGTGTCATGCTAGTCATCATGAGTGGGTGATTTTGCAGTTTTCTTGCATTGCTAATACAAGTTTCACTGACACAAACCTCCTGCTCATGTTCGGGAATCTAAATCTGAAAAATGACTATCTTAAGGTTATGACTGTACAACTTCTAAGGTTTTAGCAGATCATTAGCTGAAACCACAACTCTAGAAACAGGTCATGGTCATTTTTGCAGCCCTGTTATTCTAATGCGGCTAATGTGGTGTGTATAATAGTAGCAGGGCTTGGAAAAGAGATGGTGCCAGCTGGGGAAACTGCAGAGGGGTTGGATGGATGGATGGATAGATAGATGGATGGACAGAGGTGGGATGCGTTAGTCAGGGAGTGGGATACCTTGCTGTGTCGGAGAGCCAATTACGCAGCGTGAGCGAGAGCATACAGCTCACTCAAAACAGCCTCCTGCTCTCCCTGGCCTCCAGGAATCAACACAATATTTCACAGAAACATCACAACAGCTGGGAGACCGTCAGGGGAAATTACAACGCATGAATAAAACAGAATAAACAGTGTTATGTGGATTATTATTGTCCTGATACATCTGTCAGAATCAGAAGTTTTGGTCAATGCTTTACTTATCATACAAGTTAACACAACACAGCCATGATAACCATTACAGTTCTGGGATTCTTTACAGCTTTTCCACCACATTTATTTGTTGGGCATTGCTGAGATTTTGATAAGGTGGTGGGAGAAAGAAAGTTGGCAGGCCATGGGATAGAGGATAATATTCTCCTATCCTCCCAAACTCTTATCGGACATTGTTATGAAGAGGTGCAGGATTCACATGGGAGTTCTGGCATGCAGTGTTTCATCACACTCTGGGTCCCTAATTTGATTTGGCTTGGTGCAGTCCAGCCAGACGCAGGTGGAGCGGTCTCAAAGGGAATCCTCCATCATGAAAGTATGAGCGATTGATAATGCTGCTGTGTGTGGCTGATGTTCTTGGTGATGTTATGCTGGTGTCTTATCTCACAGACTCTCTTAAGATATTTTTCATCTGGAGGATGGAACGTCAGCCAGTCAGCCTCCAAACGGACCAGTATAGATGAGATCTACATGAGGATTGTTTTAAAGCTGCCCCAATGAATATCACCTGGAAATAAGATTTGTTACATTGAGCCATTTATATCTCCCTTCTGTGGAGTTCCGTGAATTGCCATATTTCTACAGTAACCAAGAATGGACAAACCAGCTCAAGATAGGGCTGTTTCTTATGCGTTTGAGGGCCACCGTAGTTTCTCTGTCAGGCTTGGAGGGTCAAGCAAGGCAGTTGCAATCTGCAACTACACTGCTAGATGGCACTAAATTCTACACACTGGACCTTTAAAAGAATAACATTTTGGGAAATATGCTTATCCGATTTCTTGCCAAGAGTTTGCTGAGAAGGTCGATACCAGTGTCATCTGTCCATTAAATATGCTACAGCAGCAGCCGGTTAGCTTAGCTTAGCACAAAGACTGAAAAATATGCCTGCCATTCAGTTGTTTTATTTAGTGTTAATTTATGAGCTTAA